TAATTATTTCTTCACTTGAAATAGATTTTATATATAATACAATATATGCTATTTTGGTGAAGCAATCTACAATCATAAATATAGAGTCATGTGAACTTGAATTTGAAAGATTCATAATAAAATCTATAGAAATAGAAGATAATTGTTTCAATATAGATAATGGTTGGAAAAGTCTATGGGTTTAATGATGAGGAGTTCTTAATCTTGAACAAATATCACGTAATTGTATAAAGTCTTTTATAGCCTTCTACATTTTTGGCTATAAGCTCTAAAGTCTTCTTATATCCAAAATTTCTTATCATTGAAAAATTATTGTGATGCATTTAATTTAAGTGCATTAAAGATATTTAGAGGATAATTAATTTTATTTATAAGGGGGGAGGATAATAATGCTAATACATTTACAAGTTTGAATAGAGTTTAGAATATGAAATTATTATCTTGAATAGATTATTTAAGCTTGAGGATATTGTCTTTTAGGATAGATACCTAGCTCTATAATAATTGAAAATAGATATTGAAAAAAGATTAGGAATAGAGATTTTTGGACATTAAGGATTTTTAATTTTTTTTGGAGGAGGGAGAAGGAAGGAGGGAGAGGAGGGAGAACTGAGATAGAAAGGAAAAAAGTGGGGGTTGTTACAAATTTTGGAAGGAAAAAAGAAGATTTAAGCCTGATTTGGGGTTTTTTGAGGCCACTTACAAATAAAATTATTTTGAAATTTTGAAATTTTGTAGAAAATTAAATCTTCTTGTTAGCTTTCCAATAAGCAATATTATGCAAAAATTGGAGCTATAAAAAGTGAGTTCAAAGCAAATTTGTAAGAAAGAAATTATTAGAATTTTTGAATAGCAAGTGTTAGAAATTGTATATAAGACAAGGTGTCATGGACATATGTATGTAAGCCAATAATTACATGTATAAATAGATAGAAATAAGTAAAAGTAAGTAAAAGTAAGTAAAAGTAAGTTAATTCTATAGTATTTGGTATAGAAGCTTTCTAGAAGCTTCATAGATTCTGCTTTGACTTTATACGTATCTTTAATTGAATTTTTGGGATTAGAAATGTAGTCAACAAGTTGGCCATGTGCCACATATGTTGTTAGCTTGAAGACCAAGCTAACTATGTGGCCCATACATAGAAAAACTTGCCTTGTAAGTCAAGGCATGTGTCCTACAAAGTCAACACATATTGGAAGTCCTACAAAACGTCGCCACGTAGCCCCTAGTTAGATAGTATATATATAGAGACAAGAGTGAAGCCTTCTTCACTCTTGTCAACTCCTTTCTTGCTTCCAGTCTAGTTTCAAGGATCTCTAGTTTTCTTAGCTTTTGACAATAGCCATTCTAGTTTCTTTCTTAATATATATCAAGTTATTTTTATTTTGTCATCTTTCTATGAGAGAAGTCTCACTTGTTTATTTCTCTTTATCATGTTCTTGCCCTTGACAGATTGACAAGAGTACACCTACAATATCAGAGCTTTGTCTAATCTTGATTAAGAGTGGATTACCTCTTTTTTTTGATAAGACACAAGCATATTAGAAGTTGCAGATTACCTTCTTCTAAATTGATATTGTTCTTAGTACTTTTTTTGTTCTCAAGTCCTCTCTTCTATTTGTCTTGAGTGATATTAGACATCTTCTCTTTTCTAAGTATTATCATGGCAGAATTTACTAAAATGAAGAGTGCAATGGTACAAATGCAAGAGCAATTGAGGGACTTAATGCTTGCGATAGCCATTCTAGTTTCTTATATTGTATGCATTCAAGCATGTGTTAATACTTAATGTCATTCAATAAGTCTATGACTCAAAATAGATGAATTAAAAATTGTAGCAATTTCTTCAATTTCACAAGGTATAAGATAATCTGTACTAGCTAGTATACTTTGTATAAGTAAGCTACCTAAAGATAGAATCCAATTGACTCAATTAACATCTAAATTAAATTTGTAACCTTTCTTGGATAAAATTGTAGTTGATAATAAAATATCACATGCTCCACGAATCTAGTAGACATCCTTCATAATTATAGGAATGTGTTTTGCTATAGGATCTAAAATTATGTGATGCATTTTACCTGAGCCTGATGATTTGCTAATGCCACCATCATAGTCTTCCAGTTGGAAAGTAGTATTTTCATCAAAATTGAGAAGCTTACTCATGTTTCGTCGGATGTGAACATTTGTTGCACTATCAATGCGTACACAATATTGAAACTAAGACAATAATATAATTATTACTTTTGAACTAAATGATGTCTCTCAAGTTGAAAGAATAATAGCAATTCTAGCATTTGCTACACTACTATTGTTTATTTTAGGACATTTTACAATACCTTGCCAATGCACTTTCTTTCTATAAGTCCTATAAGTACTTTTAAATTTATTAATCTTAGACTTTTGTTTTTGTTGTAGATAGTACTTTTTAAAGACTTGCTTTCCTTTCACATATATTGTTAAAGCAAAAAACAGAAGACTAGTCTTCTTCTTCCTTCACATCTCCTCTTTATAGAAAATAGATGATATTACCTCTTTTATGATCTCTTTTCTTTTCTTCAATACAATCAATTAAATAAGTATATTCTAAGATTTTAGTAATATGGAAAGTATAAAAAATGCTATGCTCTAATTGTTTATTTTACCACCAACTTTAGTATATTGATTCTTAAGATCAAAAATCTATCTAAGAAAAATTTCTATAGATTTTTCATCTAAATATCAAAGATTATACAATTTCTTCATTAAAAATATCTCAGTAATAATTCTTAAGGGCTTATGGAACTTAGCCAATACATTCTTTATTTGCTTTGTAATATTATATTTGCATATATGAGTTAATTGCAAAGGCTTAATATTAAGTACAATCAGTACTTGTGCTTCTTCTTTGCTTGATTTCCATTTTAATTTTTCATCAATACTTCTAGGACATTTTAATGTCTTATTGTCTGAGTAGAGAGAATTTGTTTCAACAAAGTGTTGGGCTTTTTGCTATCATTAATTGCTCAATTAAGTCTCAAGATAAGAAAGTATTAATTTTATATGTAAAATTATTCCTAAAGGAGAAATTACATTAGTACATAAATCCAAAGTACTAAAGAATATCCAAATTGTAATAAAAATATTTTAAAACCTTATATATTCTTAAGGAGAATTTTTTTTAAACTTCAATAGCTTATATCTCATAATTAGACTATTCAAACAAACTCAAATTTTACAAGAATTGTTGATATAATTTAAACAACTACCAAAACAAATTTCAACTACAAATTCGTTACAAATCTTAAAAAATTGCCAAAGCACTAATAGTAGCTTCAAATTCTTATTTACATAAACTTGCATGCAATTTTTTTCATATTTCACAAACTAATGAATTAAAAACTATAAAATTTATATATGGCTTTTTAACCTAATAACACATACTTTTAAAAACTTTGAGCCAAAAACTCGTCCAAAAACTCAAGATATGGCTCCAACCATTACTATCAATAAAATGGTTGACTTACTACCTTTGAATTACTTGTATTGTCTTCAACTTCCTATAACTCCTTCATACAAACTTTGAATGTATCAATTCTTTTATAAAAGATATAGGTCTTGAAATTGCCCTTGCAATGGCACCTCTTGGTGTCCAAAAGCTATTGTAAAATCCTTCATATTTTCAAAAGAATAATAATTTGTCTTAAAAGACTCATTAACTTCAAATGGTTACAACTTCTTTATCCTAACTCCAAATCTTCTAAATTTTGTGTAAAAATCATAGCTCAAATCCTAAATCTTATAATTCCTAATTTGATTTTCAAATGCCTTTTCTAAATCTTCCAAAATCTTTGTTATGATTGTAAATAGGCTATTGAAAGCCTATTGGTGATGACCTTCAACCAATAAGAATGAAGACCTTCACCCCTTTCTTTCATCTTTCCATACCTTGCTTTCATCCTTCAAAATATGCTTCTTAGTAGTTTGAATCTTCATCTTTGAACTCCAATCTTCTCTTAAAACTTTATACTAAATATCTAAATCTTATATAATTTAAACACTATAATCAAAATAAGTAAATTTCAAAATAATTTTTCTTACATCAACTTTCTTTAAATTAATCTACTAACCATTGTAATACACATTAAGATTTATAAATATATTATATGTTTTAATTAAGTTTTTACATATTATAAACAATTAGAGTACAACACCATCTACATGCATGTAAAGCTTGCAAATATGCATCAAGTATTTCATAACAAATGTCCATACGCCATAATTTTTTTCATCTAATCAATCAATACAATGATCCATTGAAGATGCCATTGCCAAATACACTTAATACAATAGCAATAAATAACTATAAGAAAACAATTAACAAATGATCCACAAAATCCAATATTAACAATCACCATCAACAACACGTGGAATTTAATTAACTAAAAATCAGCATCAATAGCATTTAACTCCAACTCCACAAAGCTCTAATAGCTGCAGTAGCTCCTTGGCTTCAACAACATTCTAACAACAATGGAGCTCTTGCAACAAGCAGATTGTCCAAGTTTTTATCAACAAAAAACTTCTATTTTTTTATCCAAATTTTATCCAATGATATTCATCTATGGCACTTTTCATCCAACTCTAATTCCGTATTACAACAACCAAGAGGAGAGCACTTCCAATGTCTTTTGGCACATATAATATGGGATATTCAACATTGTTGAAGCATTTTTCATTTTTCACAACATTAGCTTTGCCCTGAATGGTTTTGTGATATTAGGTATGACGTGGAATAGTAAGGTGCAATGGTTCATGTTTTGGAGGCGGACCTTGTCATTAAACATTTTTTATGTGAATCTAAGGAAAATGCATTTCAAGGGCATTTACCTCACAATTTGAATAAATGAAACATGCTGATTTGAAGAGATAAAATGATGTGAATGAGGTTGGATTCTGGTTCAGGGATAAAAAGTTTTCACTCCATTTGATATCTTCGAGAAAGAGCATCAGAGTTGTGTCCAGGTTTTAAAATGAGGCATACCTTATTGGCAAATCGAAGGGCTGAATACGTTTTACATCATCTGCTCAGCATGGTGCTTTCCTCCATACCGACATTTAAATAATCTTGCGCTAATTTTTGCTTGGCTAATTGTGAGGTCCATTCGATCCGACCGGTTGCTACATAGTGTGAACAAAAAAATGAACACCTTGCCAAAAATTTCTCATGGTGAGAAAATCTTATGAAACAGCTCTTATTACTATTATCTTGAATGTAACAAATTGAGAGTAATGAACGATACAAAGATGTAGAGGCCAACCAGTAAGAGAGTGAGAACTATGACACATTGCCACTTTTCAAAGTTGCACAAGTGACAATGCCTGTCGAAACCCTCATCGGCTTGTCTTGAAAAATAGCAGCGCATTCCTCTGTAGTCTTCAAAAGTGGTTGAATACCCTCCCAGATCTTTTTTTTCTGAATCTGCACCATGACAACCGCAGCAATGCTTAACGAACCTACTCCTACATTCGCAACTTGTCTAAGCTTTCTCATCTAAATTTGCCTTGTTCTTTCGATTCAAGCAGTAAAGAACTTTATACGATGCCAACTGCTTCTCTTATTAGGACTAATTTGCAGCAGCACGTTTCGTGAAAATAGTGTCTGAATCCAAGCAAGTGGAGAAGTAACAAACATTGCCGACAACCTAGAGACTTGAAGAAGCCATACCTGATTTGGAGCTGCAGGCGCTTTCTGACTCTCCTTGTCTTCCTCCGATCCGAACCAAATCCGTTCTCCAGGAACTGCTCCTTCGGGTGGACTCAAAAGCTCCACATTCTGATGAGCGGCGTCCGAGGCACAGAGAAGCATTCCATTCGACTTCACTCCTCGCATATTGCGAGGCTTCAAGTTTGCAAGCACCACTACCATCTTGCCCTGCATTGTACAGTCCCCCCCCCCCCCACACCAATAAAGTCAAATCATCGCAATAGATTGATTGCAGAAGAAAGAGATGAGCATCTTCTAACCTACTTCAGCGAAAACGAAGTTGGACTGTCCCTCTTGAAAGATAATATGCACGGAACCCTTAACCCCAAACCTACTCTAAATGGATAATATTGGCGACCGTTACATGTGAGAATCCTCCAAACACAGATGTACTACTACTTAACAAACCCGCTGACGTGAATACAACCTCGTGACAGAGCCGGAAATTAGTCATGTGCGAAAATTTTCAAATTTAAGGTCCTAGTTCGGTGAACAAGTGTATTACCTCTAATTCTTCTTGAGGGACATACTTCACAAGGCCACTGCAAATGGTTCGAGGTCCGTCGGCCTCTCCAACATCCACTTGTTCAACGTACAAAGCATCAGCTTCGGGATGCTTCCACGCCTTGAGAACTTTCCCTACTCTGATATCCAGCAAGTCTAAATCCGCTCCGACGTCCTTTGCTTCAGTAGCAGCGGGTGCTGCGGTCTCGCGAGCAGGCGAATCCACTGAAACAGAAGACGGAGCCGAGGAGGAGGAAGGGGCACAAAAGACGACGACAGGCCGACCGCAGCTACTTCTTAACTTGACTGAGGAATCCACTACAAATGAAACAGAGCTACTCACACGGCGAGACAGGACCGGCAGCTTCACGTGGCTGGAGGGTGACGGTAGAGCTTTGAACAACGACGCTACAATGACGGCTCTGCTAACCGCAGACCGGGCTCCCTGCACCATCGCCATTCTACCCTCCGCTTCAATTGGCACTGCGAAACCAGAACAAGGGCGAAGAATACAATAACACGATGACGTTGGCTGTTGCGAGTTTCGATTATGAGCTTTCAACCCTAATCTATCTAACTTTTCCTACGCTTGACCTTGACATGCCAATGCCATCTTCGCAGTTGAAGGACTGTGGCCATTCATGTGGATAAGCGAACTGGGTCCACCAAAGCGCATGTGGCATGTGACTTGGCTGGGTTCTGCCAACTGGACCACCTCCGTCTCTCCAAGACTCCAATCTCGATCACACAGGAAGCGCTGTCCGGTACAAACCACTCGAAGCATCGTGATAACTCATCTGCTATCAGGCTCGTGCTGCACAGAATAGTCGCAACTATGCAATGCATTTCAACGATGTAACGCACATCGATTGTCATCTGCATGAACGAAAGCATTGCGTTTCCTTTGGTGTCGGGTAGAGTTTCCTGGCAGGGGGTTCTTAGTTCATTGTTTCACATCGAATCGCGCTGGATCATTGGGTTTATTGGCTCTACCCCTCCAAATGTAGATTCAATGATCGCGGGAGCTGTGCCCACCAGCTTCTTGTGAGCAGGTGTAGCTGCGGATGGACACAACCTTGTTCATGTGTGAAATTTGCATCTCTTCGCGAGCTCATCATCAATGTGAGGGGCAGGGTTATCCAAAAAAACAAGGACGTTAAACCGGGAAACCCTAAGCCCTAAACCCAAAACTTGTGCAAGTCTCCGGCCTGCACCAGTGGTCTGAGCCAGTAGACCCTTCTCTTTTGATCGTGTGTTGTATCAGTTTTTTGTCAGTTTGAGTCCAGGCTTGTATGCTTCAATTTGCGTTAGAACACGTATGTGTGTTTATGTGCAGGGTTACTGGTTTTAGTTGGTTTTAACTACACTCTGTGTTGAAGTTATTAACTTTTAATTCAACATAATTGTTGTTGTGCAGTGTTTATCGTTGAGGTTCTTGGACGCCTTGGTGGGGTTCCTCGATCGCTTTTTCAATCCAAAGAGATCAGTACTAATGTACGTGCTCATGTTTTAGAGAACAATATTTTGGACAGCCATAATGCTTGACATGATTCCTTGTTGCCCGTATTTTGCATTGCCAGTGTTATTCTATTCAAACCATTGTCTATATATATATAAATATATACATAATATTAAAATTTGCAGCATACATTTGGAGTATATATACATGTTTTCTTAAAAATATTCAAAGTATTCCAAAAATATTCCAAAATATTCTTACCTTGAATATTTTTGGCATTAACACGGTTAGTTTTCTTTAGAAAACTAATACCAGTGCATAATTTCGTAAAGGATAAGGTGTGTGCTGTGTGTGAATTTCCGAGATTCTACCCAATCAGCCTTCGATCGCTAAGAAGCCAAAGACTTATAAATGCATTACAACTGATTTCAATTCCAATTCCGATGAAGACTTTCAAGATAACATACACAGCCAACTCAAATGGAGAGACTGCCGCACGCATTTAAGCTAAATCGCCGCACGCATTCACTATCACCTAAAGAGGATTTGTGAATGATGCAGGTCGTGGTGATTCTAGTAGTGATGAACAACAAGTTCAGCGGAACGTTGATGGTACAGCAGGCCTAGGGGATTTCCGAGTATGCAACACATGACAGAAAATCAAAGCTAATGACTTACAAATACATGCTGCGTCGTTAAATGTGTGAGCAGCCGCGCCACCGATGGCACAAGACAAGCTCTTCTAGAGCCATTGCCATGCAAAGCATGGACAGGCAGTCCTCCGACAGAGAGCCCTCGAAGGGTGAACTGACCGATTTCAGTGCCGTAGACACGCATCGCAACATTACTCCACCACATACCAAAGAGCAAGGATCAGGCCGATATAGGTTCTGGAATGTAGGGAGCCTTGAGAGGAGACCGAGTGAGCCATGTCCGCTGCTGATCGATGAAGTCCACAGACAGGAATCTTGCAGCTTCTGCATCAGTCAGCTTGCGCATCCACGGAACCCTCTGGGTGACGTCGCTCCCAGGTCCAGTGCACCGAAACTCGTAGAAGCAGGCAGTTCGTTCCTTTTCCTTGTCATTCCAGTTATTCCAACCAGCTGGGACGATGCACCCGTCCATGAATGTGAAGGCAAAGATGACGCGCGCGCAAGGTTGCCATGGCCGGCCGAGATGCATATATGGCCGGGTGCCAGTTCCCGTGATCACGCACCGTAGGAACACATAGCCAGTGGGCTCATCGGGGCTCTTGCAGGACTGGGCGGTGATGAACCCATCAGATTTGCAGTGGATGTGACAGTATTCGAGTAGCACCTGGGCGTTACCGAAAATGAAGTCGACGCTGCCCTCGATGTAGCAGTTCCGAAAGTACTGCCTACCGTAATGTAAATATGCAGTGTCCTGCCAACCAAGGAAGCGGCATTCATAGAACGCACACCTGTCGGCCGTAACTCTAATTGCCACGGCTTGGCCAGACCCTTTGGGTGCTGCATTCTCGAAGGTAATGTTCTGGGCAATGAAATCTTCTCCTTCTACTATCACCGTGCCGCATGCAAATGTCCCCGTCCCGATCACTTGAGATGATAGGTCGTGTTGAATGCTCGTGGCCGTGTTCGCCCATGTCAGTATGGTTTTGTGTGCATCCTCGCCCTGCACTCCAGAACCACCGACCTGGAGTTATACCCTTGCTCCTAATCTATCAGCTTGTTTCTGCAAAAAATTGATCTAGTCGGAGACCAGGACAATTAATGACCATATGCGAACCGAGAATTGCGGTTCGATCGCGTCACTCAAACGAACTTTGCCCCGCCTACTAAGTTAGAAAAAACTTCCATCTGCTACCGATCGCTGTTTAAAAGCGAAACCACCGCGGAAATGCTGATTCTCAACTCCAAGTGACATCACATTCGTGGTGATCACGAAAATGGCGAGGTGGAAATCACAGCTGTTCCACTCAACAGCTAGAAATCTACATTTCAATTCTTGAAATGCGATTCAATCCCTTGCACAGTTGCTAGAACGAGGCAGATTAGCCAGTAACCCTTCTCCCCCAGGATCCAGACATCCCGCAGAGACCAAACCAAACGAAAATGTAGAGCCATACCCGAATGGTGATCAATTTCTTCTGCTTGGGCACGTACACAGGCTGGCGGTACACGCCAGGAGCAACCCAAATCACAACGCGCTTGTTGTTGGGTAAGGGGAGTGAGTCGATGGCAGCCTGAACAGTGCGGAAGTGGCCACTCCCATCCTGCGCCACGCGCAACGACCCATCGCGAGGCAGATCCTGCATCGCATCCACAGCTTCAATTCCTGCGTTAAAGCTGCTGCTGCTGCTGTTGTTGTTATTGCTGGAATCGAGTGGGTCCGCGGCTTCCTTGGATCCGCGGTCCCACCTCAGCTTGGGCTTGATTGACCTTCCCCACATGAGGACCGAGGCCGAGCTTCAACTTCACGAGGCGCTGGCGATGGCGATGGCGATATATCCAAGCCCTGCCTGGATTCTACGAATCCGTTGCAAATGCGAGGGGCTAGCGAGGACGCCGTCCATGGGGCTCTCGCCTTTTGCCGATTCGCCAAACCCTAAAAATAGGAAGAGATCCCCAATGCCAAGATGGCTTGGAGGATAAAGGCCTTAATTTCATGAAAAAAGCACCTTCAAGTGTTGTTTCTGTAAAGTACGCGAAACTTTGTGCAAAGAGGAAATTATAATGTTATTTTTTTTTTGGAATAAATAAATAAATAGTGAGAGAAGGTTGGTTGGACTGAGGTGTTGTCTTCTTCTTTCTAAAAAATATTTTCCACGATCCTCCATTCGTATGTATATTTTTGTTTTCTGTTTTTTCCCCAAATTGTCGTCAAACCCTAAGTTTATTATGATTGGATTTGTCTGAATATCATGTGCATTGTGGATGTTATCAAATTAACAATGAAGTTTGTATTTATCAATATTATTATTCTAATTCTATATATTATTATGTAAGCAATGTGTAAGTACTATTTTTTTAATAAAAGTATTTCGATTTTTTTTTACATCTTTTTTAATATAATATAAGTATGAATGTTATAAAACAATTATAAGAATCAAGATATCTCTATCTCTTTTCTTGTTGATTTAAAAAAATTATACCTTAGTTTATATGGACTAGTCTTTTATTTTATTATTTTGATGATTTAAAAGAAAATGTTCCTTTACTTTATTTGGGCTATTTATTTATTTATCATAATATAAATTCCTTCAAAGCTTATGTATTATAGAATGTATTTTAATTGAATAATTTTGATGTTACAAAGAGTTATATCAATATTGTAGATTTTTTCTTATACACCAGCAACAATAGTATGCACACCAACAAACAAATTGTTGTATTGAGTTACAAAAAGAAATTTCCAAAGCATATTAATATTATTGAAGATAAGAAAATTAAATGTTTAAACTTATTATATTTGTTCATTATAAATGCAAGGTGTGTTTCATTAAAACTAAATCTTTCCAGACTTATATTTCTATTTTATATACTTAATTTTAGAATGTGAATTTATTTATTTAGTTTATTTATTGGATTTACCCTAAACTACAAACGCTGCAAAAATTATGAAAAGGTTATATATATTACAATATTTAAACAAATTTACATCCAAATGATCTCAATGTTATAATATTATTTTTTTACAATATAAAATGTAAAAGAATAAATATACAAATAAAAAAACAAACACATATCATAATTTGGGTATGTGGTTTGTATTAACACTTTCCAGAAGTTTACCGGCATTTTTTTTTATTATTTCAATCAAAAAATCTAAAACAGCCGCTCAAACATGTATTAGTTAACAAGTTATCCTTTTAATGTATCCTTTAAACGTATTACTTCAGAAAATAGAATAAGTCAATGCAAGTCCAATGAATGAACTGACAAACTTCATTTGAGATACTCGAATGTAATAACTTTACAAATAAACTTTAATCACAAATCACACTAATTAATTTTGAAAAGACAAACTTATGATTTAATTACAGAATATGAGAACCAAATCCACCATTGTTTGCGTGAAAACCACAAAACGGATTGATGAAGTTAAAACTTAACTTGTTATTTTTGTGGATTCTTGGACAATTTTGTTGGTGGTTGTTTGCACAGTCCTGTGCCAGCAGACTTGCCTCTCTTTTCTGCAAATCTTTTAAGCACAGTAATTGTCGATATTTGAACGCATCAAACTAAAACAAAAGCTACACTCATGACCGTAATTAGTCTCACACTCTAGTTGGGAACATGGATTTTAAGGTGTTCACACCCTCATAAGTGTGTGTGAGATTATTCAAGAAGTGAGCCTAAAAAGGGGTTGTTCTTTATTAGAGTAAGTGAGAGTAATAAAGTTGATACCTAATTAGGGCGTGTGAGAGGACACTCATATTTTATTAACAACTCATACAGTACGTAATGAACATAAAAATTTATGTTCTTGAAGGAAATACTACTTTATATCCTCTATTCGAAATCATGTGAACTCTCACACCGGAATGCAACGAGGAAATGCAACGAGGAGAGCTCAGCCGCCGAGATGAAATGTTGTGAAATTGCTAGACTTCATTTGAATCTCTAATCTCACATTCTGAATATTCAAACCCCCGCAAGCTTGCACTCGCCCATGTTTCCATAATGTGCTATAAGTCTCGGGTTTAATGGTGTCGAAAGTTTAAGGAATACATTATCTAAATGGGTTATATGTCTAAATCTCTTATTCCTTGTTAGAGTGTGGGAGACTATTCAGGAATTCATGTTTTGGGGTTTTTCTCTAAACCCTTATTGGAGTGTGTGAGACTAATTAGGAAGTGGGACTATTCAAGCACGAAGACTAATTATGATTATAAGTGTAGATGAAGTTTGTTAACATCATCGAAGGATTTTAAAAAAAGCTTGTCGTTACAGAAAGGAAGAAGTCAGAGCTCAATTCAATGACTGAAATAACAGATGACATCCCAGTTCATAACTCACTTGAAGGGTCTTGGACTAGAATGACCACCTTTGATGGTTATATATGTAGTTTGGTCAATGTTAGCCTACGCACTCGGGTTAATGCAAAGCAGTAAAAGAATGTAAAACAGTATAACCATTCCAACATTTCAAGAAGGGCTATCTCTAAAAGCTTTCCAACAGTTCATTCAACGCTGCCCATAAAACTAAAACCAGAAAATGGCCGAACTGTATCTTACAAGTATGCGTGTGAAATCACGGAGTAGTATCCGAAGAGCGGAAGGAAAATGATCTCCGAACAGCTGGACTCGGTAATGGCTTGCCTCCCAGAACCGGTCGACTATTGATTGGTGTAACTTCCGTTTCGTTCGTTTTGCGTTCCATGTCGTTAGATTGGTCCTTACTACCAGGACTTCCAGTGGCCAGAAGCTCGGTGAAGTATTGCAACTCCTTCAATCCTGGGTACCACAAGAAATCGCCTGATGAGCAGGGTCACAACTTTCAGTCAATCGAGGTTCCTGAAAATCCCGTACTCAAAGCAAACAGGACTTAAAAAATCGACCATTCACCTCCTCCAGATGTAAGTGACTGTGGAGTAGACACAGATCGTTGTAAACTCCGTGATGAAAGTGACTGAAATCCGTCCAAGGAAGCTACAAACCTGCACAGCCACCGTAATGAGCACACAAGAAAGGAAGGAGAGTAAAAAATTGAAAAAGAAAAAGCCTTCCATACATAAGCAGCTGTTTAATGATGATCGGACAGGAATTTGGAGAAAGTCGAGGAGGTTGAGATGCGTACCTGCAAAGCAATACGATGCCCTGATTGGCAATTTCTTGGTTAGCCTGGACCTCGTCAATTTTCCCTTCTAGTCCCAATACGAGTCGCTGCACTTCACCAATCTCTCCATTAGCTCTCACAACCTCGCTCTGCACCTCGGTCACTTGATTTCTAATCAGGCCTTGCAAGATCATACTGTCATCCAAGCTCTTGGTCACGCCTTCCAGCTTAGCGGTCAATTGTCGTTTAGTTGCCTGAAGGGCAGTGGATACAGTCTCAAGCTGCTTTGAGACGCTTGCGACGGCATTAGTCATGTGCTTCCTTGTGACATACATGAAGTCTGTCCATTTTAGCCCTTTCCACTTGATGTACCCGTAACCGACAATTCCTATAGTTGCAGCGGGTAGTATTAGTGAAGAGTAATTGGTGGAAGAACCACCGTTGACCACCGTAACATTTCTGGGTGATGATGCAAGATATCGAAGCTCTTGTGTCAGACGCTGAACTTGGGCAGCTAGGGCAGAATTTTCGCCCCCTGATCCGTCCTCTTCGGAAAGGTGCTTGGTTACGACCTGCACATGACAATATAGAATCAGCTCAATGACCACACGATTCCTGAGTAATAGTTTTACCAAATTGTGCTGATGAACATGATACGTGCTCTTGTCTAACAAATTCTCTCTACTTAGATTATAAAAAGCATTTTAAAAATATATAATAACATGAAGTAAGACTCTGTTTACGTCATTTCAAAATCTGTATACATTGAAAACACGAAATCACTTAGAAACGGCACCAAACCTACGAAACCTCTATACCGGTGATCAAGCAGCTAATTCACATCACAGGCCTGTCTTCTTAACACGGACTTCCTAGTTAACCTTGTGATGCTTGGAATTCAAAATAAATTAGATAATAAGGCTGACAACCGATAGCTACAAGTTATTATTCTTATTATTCTTATTATTCTTATTATTTGATTATTAAATTAAAAATTTCAAAATTATGAACAGACCGTTTTAAAAGGAAACTCTGCTGACACTCAACCAAGTCAGTAAACTAAAGCGGCCCAGAAATACAACCTGGGAGAGATCGTTCAGAAGCTCGGCGACTTTCGGGTTCCGCAAAGCCAATGATCCAGCAGTTCCAGCACCCACAACCAACAGCAACCTAGATGTGGCCATAGCCACACTCCCAACTCCACCACCTTCCTCAAACCCTAAACCACTCAACCTCTGTTGAGACCCCACTTAAGTCTCAAACAAAACCTACATTTCCGCCTCTCGCTACACCACCCGAATTACGAAACATCTCAGAAACCCATATGAGAAATCTCACTCCTGTGGAAGCTCTCACACCTGTAACCCAAATCCCATCGCAAATTCTGCACCCTCCTTGCGCTGATCTGCACAAACCTCTTCTATTTTAAACTAAATCTATCATTTTTCTTCCAATTCTTCTTCCTTGCATCTTCCACTGGCTAACAATCACTACGACAATCGACTCCCGGTTACACTACTCCCTCCAAGTAATCCTCCGTCAGAACACGCGCCCCGAGAGGAATTCTTAGTAGCGTCGATCGATCGATCGATCTGGGCACCGATCTCCTCCCTTCCTCACCTCAAACCCCCTCGCTCGTTCGGTCCACGAGAATATTCTTGCTTCCTCGTTATGGATGAACAATTGTTCGATTGTTGGATTGTTCGTTCGCCCGTTCGACAAATCATTCATCCTTGACTCTTTGATAAATTTGACGTTGTGATAAATTTCATTAGAATTGGCCACCACATATGTGGTTGAAATGTTACTCCGATCGCCAACTTCTTATTCAATTTCTTGATCATCATAGCTAGAATTATAAGTATTAACTAAAATCTATTACTTGAATTCCTCTAAATTTTTCTAAATATACAAATAGTTTATTTATAATAGTATTATTTGAGTAGATTTATAATTTCAAAATGGTACCATAGAAAAATTGAATCCAATTTTTTGTGATTTCAGAATAATTATACTAAATGAGAAAATATACAAATTTTTGGTTAGTTTGTTTTTTTGTTTTGTATTACTAAATTTGCATTATACATAAATACAATAAGTACATTACATATCATACAAGGTATGCATTTTATAATTTTTTTGTAACAACATTTGAATTTCGGAATATCCTATAGACATCCATAACTTTACTTTAAAGAAGATTGATATTAAAAACAATTATATAGTTATGTGATAATGTCTTCAAAAATATTATCAAAGGTTGCAAATTACTTGGATTTAGTGCTTAACAAACTAGTCAAGAGGATACATTTAAATTATTTAAATTCTTTAAATCTATATATTAGGTTAGGGTTTGTGATGGCAAATCATAGAATCAAACAAGATATAAAAAGTGAAAGATAATCAGGAAATAAAAGCAACCAACTCCTCTATAGAGATGAAATTATTCTTTGGTGTAAAAAATTATTATTGTGATTTCATTAGCAATTTTTTTTTAAACAAAATTGATACTTTTTTTGTAATGTAAAAAGAAGTTAATGAATATCGGAATAAATTTAGCTTTAATGTCTTCAAATAACTTAAGACCAAGTTCTTATCATCTCATGTATGAAATAGGACTCTTGAAGAGCATAAACATATATTGGTTATGAAAAAAAGAAGTAAATTATGTATATAAGCATAATTATTTTAATATTTAAATTAAAATAGCTTATAAATAAATAAATAAATATATATATATATATATATATATATTATAAAATATTTATTTTTTATTTTTTTATAAAAATAAATATAATATTAAAAAATATACTATTATCAAATATGATAATATTTATATTTAAATCATAAATAATTAAACTTATATAAGTGATATTATATATTGATAATTATAATTTTATAATTAAATTAAAAAATTTGGCAAGACAATCTAACCTTAATTTTATTAAAATGGTGGTAAAACTATTAAGCAATAACTGTAATGCAATCCATGTACTTATTATATTATAATAAATAGAATTTAAATACAACTATAAGTATGAAGTTGAGCAATTTCAAACTATAAAGAAGAGATGTGAACAAGAATGGGAACATGAGACATGAATGGAGGATGGAAACAATGGATGGGAACAAAGGATAGGAATGGAGATGAATATATATAAATATACATATATATTTATATATATATATATAGGAATGGAGATGAATACATACAAATATACATACATACATATATATATAAATATATAAATATATATATATAAGGATCTATTAAAGCCATATATACAACTAAAATATGTAGAATAATTTTTTTATAAAAGTTTAATATATATATTTATATATTTGATATATATATATATATATATATATATATATATTTTTATATTTTTTTATATATACATAAACTAGATATATATGTATGTATGTATATTTATATGTATTCATGTAAATTAATAAATAAATATATCTATATAATATAAATTAAATATAATTTTTAAAATTTAAATAAAGAAGATATAGCTCAAAATTTTAAAAGTACATAGTGTTAAACTTTTATAAAAAATTATTCTACATATTTAGTTGTATGAAGTTAAGTTATACATAAGCATACAACTTTGTAACATTTCCCTCTACTTTTCTCCTCTTCCATCTTCTTTTCTCCTCTTCCTTCCACTTTACAATTCTTTATGGATCTTTAATAATTGAAGCAAATCAATACCATTGAGTCTCTCATGACAAGAAGACATAGTACAAAGTTAAGAGCTAATGCATTAAGTCAACATGTTTACAAGGATTGGTAAATGTCCATAGAAGTAGCTTTAGTTGATGTTTATACCCATATCTAAGCTATTTGATGTTATTTGACATTGAATGGTTGAGCAGGAGGAAGAGAAGTGACCAATGAAAAAGATACTTTTATTGACTTGAAATCTTATGATGCTAAGTTGAGATTTTTTTGACTGAAAATCAATTATAATTATATATTTTTTTAATACAAACTTAATTTATGTAAATAATTATTGTTGCATTAACTTAAAAATATGATATGACTCTAGAGCTTGTCATGATTGACATCAAATGCATACTAAGAGTCTATGAGGCTTATATTTAATATCTGGTAGGGTGGAAATCTGGACAAGTTAGAGACATCTATTATTATCAAAGCATCAAGGCCAACTTAAAACATTACGTGCATTGAAGCTTTTTGTTAGAAGTTGATATCAATTGCTTCAAAGCCAATAGCCATGGAATTATAAGGTATATTTTGAAGTATATTATTTAGCAAATGATCACCATTTTTTTCAAAATAATGTATTATCACAATTTTAGATGAGTTTCAAAGTTCGTCTACAAACTCAAGATATGGATCCAACTATTACTATAAATAAAATCACTCACTTATTGCCTTTGATTTGGATGTGATGACTTCAACTCTTTATAACTTCTTCATCAAAATTCCAAGGATAACAATTCTTTTGTAAAATATGTAATTTATAAAATTGCCGTTTTAGCTATACCTTTTGATTTCCAAAAACTACCGTAAAACTCCTCATATGCTCAAAAGAATAACAATATGTCTTAAAATGATACCTTAACTTCAAATGGCTATAACTTCTTCATCCTAATACCAAACTCACTAATTTTTGTATCCAAATTGTAGTCCAAACAAAAAACCTTACAACCATAGCTTTTGATTTTCAAATGCTCCTCTAAGATTGCCAAAAATTCTACTTATGGTCGCAGACCGCCTCTTAAAAGCCTATTGGACATAGCCTTCGACCAATAGGAATGAAGAATTCCATCCCTTGCCCTCATCCAACCATGCTTTACTTTCATCCCTCCCAATAAGCCTCCTCCTGGTTTAGATTTTCATCTTTAGATTCTAATCTCCTCTCAAGGCTTCATACTAAATATTTAGGTTCTATAATTTTTTAAATAATATAATTAAAATAATTAAAATTAAAAATAAAGTTTCTTATATTGACTCTCTTTAAATTAATCTATTAACTATTTTAACACACACCAAGTCTTATAAACATATTATATGATCTAACTAATTTTTACATACTATAAGTAATTATAGTATGACATCCATCCTCTCCAAACCTACATACCTTCTAACATGTGCCAATCTTACCATCTTTGTTTTCTTCATCTTCATCTCTTTTTGCATCTTCTTCTTGGTCTAGATATACTCTTTCAAAATCTGAAATATTACTTAGAATAAATCTGCCAACTCTTCTTTTAAATGCCTTAATCCACTTTTCAGCTATAGGTATCTTCAACATTGCACCATCTAAGTCACAAAATATATATATATTTCATTATGTTGTATTATTGCAACTACATATGACTCAAACTGTCTTCAAGTAAATTTCTTCTATGTATTATATTGGTAGTCTAAAGTACCATTAGAAACCTCTATTCACTTATCTTCTATATTATTTGAAACTCTCAATATCCATTTTTGGCTGATATCAATGGACTATTTTTCCTTGTCAAAAAGTCTCCTAGATATGATTTTTTTCTCAAAGTCATGATTTACTAAAGCTAAAATTATATCTTTAAGCTTTCCAACCTTGGCTTTTTTTTAAAAAAATAAAAATGGTCCTCCTTCTCTTCTTTATCACACTCAAAGTTATAGTTATTAGTATAAATAAGTATCTTTGTCTCTTTCTCAACCATCTTTTCATTTGATATTTCTTCAACCATGCATTCTTAAATTTGGTTGGGTTGGTTTTTTTTTTTTTTTTTTTTTTTTTTTTTTAATTAACCCTTGTGCTTCTCCACACTCAAATTCACCTTGATTTTAGATACATATTGTATCTATAATAACCCCCTTATTACTCATATTTATTCGAGCAAATATTTACAAAACTTCATCCTCCATTTCTTTATTCAAAAAATATTATATTTCTTCAACATCTTTTTAAAACCTCATTAGAGTCAATTTTTTGTTCTTCTTTATGACCATCATTAATCATAGGATCACATATGAGAGTAAATACTTGGCCAACTTCTTCTTCTTCTTCTTCTTCTTCTTCTTCTTCAATTGTATGAGTATCCAATGCTTCCACCATAATAGCTCTAACTTAGAAAGCTAAGTCTTTATATATATGTAAAAGATAGAGATATGGATTTTCTTTGAATTTAATGAAAATCTAACTTATTAGCAAATAGTTAGTTATGATTTGATAATGTCTTTATTTCAAAGTTCCTTGTCTTGTTTCATCTACTATTGCTTGATCACCAATAGTATTGCATCCTCTACTTTCTTTCAATTATTAATTAAACCTCTCTCAATCGACTTGTCATCCAAGAATATAAAATTCGGCTAAAAAAATATGATAAAAATTTAAAAAGATTAGATGTGATTTCAAGTAGTAAGTACATTTTGAATGTTATTGAGGAAGAAGGATTTGAAGATGATTATGTAAATTTTTTAAAAGAATTCGCTTTGCATATGGATAGAAATAGAGCTATAATTTTATATAGCTTCATTCAAAGCAAGTGTATGAAGAGGTTTTAAAGATTTCAAGGAAGATTGATATAATTGATAATCATGTGATATTACAAGAAGCTGTAGTATAGACTAAGTATAAGATTGTTGCCAAGAAGGTGTAGTTTGTGGCAACCCAATTGCTTCAAGATATCAAACACTACATCA